AGTGCTCATGCCTTTGCAAAGGAACGGGGCTCAACGTCTGACAATGTTTACAGGTTATTTTCGTGGGGAATACTTTCGGGTTTGTTCTCCTGCAGAAATAGTTTGGATACAGAAGGTTTTTTAAAACTCTTTTAAAAGCACTCAGTAATTTTCTGCCTACCATCCATCCATGTGACCGTGTATTGTTCAATGACAACTTCTAATCTTTAGCATAACAACAGACCATGTGGTTCACGATACCACATAAAGCAGTACACTCTTTATCCATTTATACATCCTACCTTGAGGTACTTAACATTTTTTTCAAATATACCTAATGATTCCAACTGAAAATCTCTTCCTGTTTGAACAGTCTGCCAGCACATGGGCGCAGGCAGACACAGGCTACCTAGCTGAGTGCTAACCTTTCCGTAACGTGCTCGCCAAAACCTCTTCCAGGACACACGTTCCGACAGTAGGTCAGCTCAGGACTCTTCTTTTTTTCTTAGCTTTACAGTTCATCGTGCTCCTCTCTGGCCTCCTGGTCTTTCAACTTGAATTCTTCAGCGGTAACTTTGCCATTTCCATCCCGGTCTTGATTGGTAAACATATTTTTAACAATCTTTTCAAAATCAAAACCAGGAGCCAGTTTTCCTTTGCCAGAATCGACTTGAGCTTGAATGTACTCGGAAAACTAGGTGGAGGGAAAGGAGGAGAAAGCAGCTCACAATGAAACAGACATTTCAAACTGACAAGGTATTCGCCAAAGTAGCATTTATTTGTTCTGACTCTTCAGCATTTCACTACTGAAGTGTAGATACAAGTACACTGTGACAACGTAAATTAGACTAATTAGGTCAGACACCTGAGGTTAAATCACTCTTTCTGGAGTTCAGCAGGGATTTCCTCGCTTATTCCAGTGGGTCCCACACCCGTAACAAGAAAAGTTCTTTCTCATAATTTAGGGGGAGGATGAGTTGAACAGAGTGACTTAGGAACAGATCTGTATGGAGGGAAGGGGTTTAATTCCACGTGCTGATACAAGAAGCTCACACTGTAAAACACACATCCACCGGCATCTTACAAAAAAACAACAGACAAGAAAAAAGAATGGAACACAGAAACAAGACTTTAAGTATCAGGATACCGTGAGATTTCTTACAGTAGCTTCAGGCATTAGGCCTTCCACTTGACTCCTGTGACTTCGGTGGGAGAAGGGAGAAGAGCGATGAAAAGGTTGCAAGGTTACAAAGTTAGCTTTCCCTAAAATCCTTTTCCTGATACATCTGATGAAGCTATTCAAGCTGGTTAGACAACCATCTGACAGAAGTCATACTGCTGGCTTTCCCAAAACAGAAAGTCCACAGTCAAACATAACTTTTCCAACTACTGTTATCTCTGGCACTACTCGTTAAATAAGCTTCAGCAACGAGAGCTATTTCTGACATTCATTTACACCTTTTAGGCCAAGCATCCTCCCGCATCTCCTGGGCTTCTCCTCCTTGCTAGGGGACCAGAAGGATGTGGATAGCAATAGACATATCCCACCTTGCTTGTTCTCTAGACTGGTAAAAGCTCTTTCCTTCTCTGCAAGGGCAGAAGGAGAGGTAAACACAAGATGGAGAAAGAAGGAAAACAAAGAGGTGGAAGAGAGCGCTAGGAAAAGGGAAAAGAAGATTTTGATTTTGCCCCATTGGCTTGTTAAAATGCTCAACGGCATCTCACACTGTTCCATAGGTCCACAGCCCACCCCTCGAGCGCTGCAGGCAGCACTACTCGAGCGAGGAAGGACACAAACCAGAACAACAGAGAAAGCCAGCAAAGAAGACTGAAGAAGAGAATAAAAAAATTGAACTCCCAGATTAGAGAAACCGCAGAGGAAAACCTCACGGAGGTTTATATTATCACGGACAGTGTGGCAAAGGCAAGCGGCTTTCAGTTAGGGCACCCAATGACATTCTCACACTGCAGATTTTAGAAGCAAGCAAGGGGAAAGGGACTTGTTCACACGGCGCACAGTTCACCCACAGATGGAGCAGCCACGTGCACTGCCAGGTTCCACAAGTGATTAAACGGTTCCTGGCTGCACTGCTGCAGGCTCAGCTCTGGCCCAAGAATTCACCACAAACCTCCAGTTGACGGACTCTGTGAAGGCCGACACAGTGCAGGATCGCCGAATACTAACTCTGCCTCTTACACCATGTATCTGTTGTGGACCAAGGAGACCATGACAGTAAATGGTCTTAAGTAGTATGGCCATTCTTCTATTTCTTTTTGGTTCTATCTCTAAGGCTAAACTACCATGCTCTAACTGACATCCCGTTAACTTGACAACAAACACCATGTCGAAGAGGAGAGGAGGAGAAGAGGAGGAAAGGAGGAGAAGAAGAGGAGGAGAGACCCCATTCTTCAGCATCTGCATTGATGGTGGTAGGAGAAAACCACTGCAAGTGTTTTCACTGTGTCAGCTTACCTCCTCCAGAAGAACCTCTCCATCATGATTCTGGTCTATTTCTTCAAAAAGATTGGGAGAGACTTCCCCGTTCCACACAAACATGTACCCTTCAGGCAAGCCAGACACCAGCTCCAGCAGTTCGATGTCGAAAACTAATACAGCACTACCAGGCACTTCTCCTTCTGTCACAACAAATGGCAAAGAGGGATATTTATCCTCACTTACACTGAAGGGTATATTTCCTTTTAATCCACAATTAAATTTCTCTTCCTGCTCCAACAGGTGCTTCTCTACTGTGATCCCCAAGCCCCGTGATCCCAATCCCACCAAATATCCCTGTTCACTTTGGCAGAGGTGATCAAACCATAAAGGAAGCTTTCATAATAGAACTGCATCCATTTTTTTCATTTCTAAAGATAAAACTGCAGGAATGAATCAATGAATCTTGCTGATACACTGTGTATCAAGGTGCTACTGCCAGACTCAACAGTGTTGCAACTGCTTGGGATGTTACCTCAGTGAAACCACGGAAGGAGTTGAATTTATTCTTGAAAAAGAAAACTGAGGACACCTCTAACTTCTGTCCAGTAGCAAACAAGTAATCTCTTCAGATATCCGGGTACATACCAAAACACTGACACTCACGCAATGTTTCAGACCATATATATTGAATGCAATTTGAATGATGGCAAATGCCTACGACAGGTACGTTTATAATGGCTTTTGACACAGCAGACTTCTTATGTTACAAGGAAAATTTCAATTTATTATATACAACTATACCATTTTACATAATAGTATAAAATGTTGCATATATAATACTTGTGTCATATTTCATGTAAGACAGGTACAAGTGAAAATGCTTCTTCATCTCTTATCACAAATTAATTCTCCATTAAGCTTGGCACATGATGCCTGACAGACAGTCTTTAGAAAATACAAACTGTTCTGGAGCTATTCTTTGAAGATAGCAACTTAAGCTGTTTCCACATACACCAGTTTGTTGATCTTAGTGATCTATCAATAGACTCTTTTCCCTCATGTCTTTTAACTCAGAAGACCAGTAACAACCACACATACTGGGAGATGAGAGTTCTTGTCACTTCTGTATTGTTCTTTTTATTATTGTTGCCTTTATCATTAAAAATTTGTAAGTCTCCATGCTCTAAAACAGAGCAAACTGCCTTAAATGTAGTGGCGCTGGGGTTTCAACAGCACCGATACACTGTTTCACAGATTGCATTCCGTTTAGGTAGTTTCTGAATTTTCAGGTTTCTTTGAATTTTCTAACCTATTAGAGCTGAACAGTCCTCTTCAGTTTTGTTTCCTGAATAACACGTCACACGTCCAGGCGTGAATACCCAAACCCCTATCACAGAGCACGGTGTTTACAGCCCTCTGCAACGCCAGAGCGCCTGGAGCTTTCCTTTTTGACAAAGCAACGTTACTGGGAGTGTGTGCTCCCTTTTGTACTGGGATGGTCTTTCTACTGGCCACAGCAACAGTATGACCTAAAATGCTACACAGACAGTACATCCATTTCACTGGAGAATGGGGGTGGGGGGTTGTCTAAAATATTGACATGAGAAACCTCTAAAAAAATCCCATTCAAGCAGCAAAGAGACCCTCACCTGATGTCCTAACGCACAGCACATAACAAAACATGCATATTTGCATTTCAGTTGCTCAAGAGATGCTAAGTGCATGTGCAATAGGTTTCGTTCACTTACCAACTCCATCTTCTCCATAACCAAGATGAGGTGGAATGATGACTGTTCGTCGTTCCCCGACACACATGTTTTGAAGGCCCATGTCCATCCCCACCACCACCTGTCCAGATCCCAGAACTATGTTGTAGGTCTTGCCAAGACTGTGTCTGGAGTGGGGATAGGAAAAAAAAAAACCAAAAAACCAACCCTCAACATACAACAGAGAATTTCTGTTATTCAAAATTACCGCAGGAACAGCGATTTCTAGTTAGTGTCCTGTCATTGCCAAAAATTAACTTCATGCCCAACGCTCTGTTCTACCAAGCGGTTACCTAAAGTTGTTCTCAAGGTAGCAAGTTACAGCCAACACCAAACAGAAGTGTCCTTACCATTGACAAGCCCTCTGGTACTAAAATTATAGGCTTCTTGAATGAAATCCAACGAAAATCATTAATCCTGCCAATTAAATCCCCAAAGTATTTTATCTCAATATAAGGGCCTTTGCCTTTCACATATGCATTTCCAACTAATGAAGTTGGACTTTTTAGCAGATGCAAAAATTTCAGATGTACATTTGTCCCAGAACTACCAACCTATACGGATCTGGGTGCGTTCACATGGATCAGCCATCCCTTTAACGAAATCGGTCGCTATAATGTAGTAGTCACTTCACCAAGACAGCACGGAAGTGTACCACTACTACTGCTATTTAACCACACTATGTTTTGATTTATACCTTGCTGCTGGTGGCTCATGTCTAAAATTAGAAATTAATCACAAGTTAAAACCCCAAAAGTTAAACACATATTGTGATTCTAAAAGCAGAGCGTGCAGTGTTAAGGCTTTTTGCTCGGTATGTGTCACAACAGCAGGACCCTTTCTTCTGTCGGCCTCCTTCCTTTGGTCGTTTGGCTTGGCCGCAGCACTGCAGGACATGCTTGTAGAACCGCGTATTATTTGGAAAGAAAACAATTCAGTGGCTGGGAGGTCAGCCTTAAAATCAGGAGCACAAGATTCATGATATTTGATTCCCTATAAACTGCTTTGAATGTAACAGTCTCAACATCTGTAATCGATGGCCTTGCTGGACTTGTCCATGCCAGACGAGAGACATGCTCGGACTCGGGCATCAAGAGCCAAAGAGTTAACAAATGGAGCAATTAACTTGCGCTTATCTTATCAGACAGAAGTAAGGGGGGACAGCCCATCACTGTAAACCCAGTGATCTGTGGGGCGCAGCAGAGGCCGCGCAGCCAGAGATTGCTTCGGATAAAGCACAGATGGCCCCCAGAAGCGCATACCACGATGCCTGCTCCATAGGCAGGCCAAACTGCTGAGTCCCGCTTCTGACGACACGACATCCCATGCCAAGAGCCAATCGATACATAATAATTGACTTAGTCTCCCCTCGCAACAGGATTTTCAGACATATAAAAACTGACACTTGAAAACTCTCTTTGGGAGGAGGAGCCAAGCGAGAACTTCACCTGATGGACGGGTTGACGGGCCTGAACCTCTCTTCCTCCCCCCCAGGAAGGGACGACATAAACCATTGACCAAGTCTGGGACTAGGAGTAGGAGTAGATCCAGCCGCACCTGGACTCCTCTCTGAGAGAGAGTTTAGAATGCAAGGGGGTCTGCTCTGAACCTTGTGACTCAACGGGAGGGCTCTCCTTTTGCTGCTTATCAGACTCCCTTACCCCTTTTAACGCGACAGCATCCCTTGGTTCCTGCTACAAAATGCGAACTGAGCTTTCCTGCCATATAAAAGGGTTTTAAATCCAAACACATTACTTGCATACATACTTGCCTACAGCATCACACCATGTGCTTCAACGTAAGCCAGCTTTTCATCTCTGCAAGCTACTGTGTACACTGTGAAAACTATGAGCTGCTTCCTATGCTAATTAAAACCTGCTTAAAAATAGCTTTTCCCAACTTCCCTTCCAAAAATAAAATATTGTTTAGGTGACTTGCACTATCCAAAAGATGAAGGCAGAAAAAAAGCTAGCAGAGTTATTCTTGTAGCTGCAGCGAACAGCGTGATGGGCTTACTTTAGTTCTACATGAGACAGACCGGAGCAATCTCTTCTTCCCTCATAAACCTACTGTCAACAGGAAGAAGGAAGAGGAACATTATAACCACAGTCACGAACAAGCCCTCTTGATAGTTTCTCCATGCTGACACTTAGCGCAACGCTACAGTACAGGAAAATGAGCACCCATGTGTGGTACAAACGTGACAGTGACCATTTACTATCAGCTACACTCAAGCTAGCTTTAACTAGACTACACCGAGCATCCCCACCAGCCCTCTCTCAGGATCACCGAATCAGTGCAGAGTGCAAATCCTACCCAAGAAACCAAACACACTCGGACAGTTTGTTCACATGGAGCCCTGTGTCGCTCCAGTCTGACTGGCCCAGACACCTGAATTAGCCCTTCCAAACAGAGGGCCATACAGACACCCTGTCTCGTCACCCCACCTATAGTGTTTATGTTCTTCTCCAACACATTCCTACACCCACTTTGTTACCAGTTCTCTCATTATGCCATGATGGATTGTCTTTTTCTTGTCTTCCTCCTTTATATCTTAGGCAGGCAGACAGGAAAAGAAAAATACATTATATGTAAATACTCCATTTTTCACTTAAAAATTCATTATTCCCTGCCAGCCCACTTTATGGGCAATTCGTTCTGCTTTCACAGCTGCTAGGGACTTTTTTGTTTAACCAGGTAATATACTTACGTCGAGTCTAGCAAAGTACCGTCCAGGAGCGAAGCATTGTAGTGATACTTCAAGTAATCTCCCTTCTTACTCAGTACGGTACAGTTGGAAGGTTTGTAGTTAACCGTAATGCTGACCGAATCCGAGGGGTTGTGGAAATCAACCACGTGGATGTCAAAGACCAGCACGGCAGATCCTGGAATCTTTCCTAAATAGGAAGCAAATTAGGCAAGTAGAGAAAGAAACGGAACCCAAACAGGCTTCAGATGACCAGGTACTGCACCCCTGTAGGAATACGTATTCCCACCGTGTCTGCTACCGGGTCACTCTGCTCTTCTTGTTCAGACTTAAAGGGTTACATCTCCTCTGCACGCAGCAGATGCAAGCCGCATCCAGTGTAGGAAAGCGAACCAGTGGAAAAGCACTAAACAGGCACTCAGTTCAACACCAAAGGAAAAAATTTCCATTATTCTGAATTTGAAAATTATGCAGAAATTAAGGAAGAGCCATATATTTCCTGTGGCCATCCCAAGTGACTTATTCATGTTTCAGATACCAATTTGTTATTGGTCATCAAAATTCTCACAGAACTTCTCATGTGTCAAGGAACGCCATTCTGTCCAAAAGGTTACATTTCCTTAAAACATCCTGATAGTAAGTGACTTCTTCCCCCCCTTCCCAGGACAACGTGCAATCGCATTACCAAGACCGACAGACACATCCAGACCCAGGACTCGGTTTTGGAGGAGTCTAACACCCAGATCAACAGCACAGAATCTGCACTCCCAGAACAGAGGCTTCTCTTCTAACTCACTTTTTCCAAACAACATCCCAGGAGGTACCTTTTGAAACACCAGCCATAGAACTGATCGGCCAGAAGGGTTATCGTATTCAACCTCTCACAGCAATCTTTTTAGGTACTAACGAGTTTTCCCAAAGGAACCTTAACTGTATGCTATACATGCACAGGTACTTTGCTGTTACATGCATCCACCGTTTACAGAGGTGGCTTAGGAGTCCACAAAACCTGTGGCTGTGGAAGGAACAAGGAAGAAAACTCAACACAATTAATTCATCTGGCATACAGAGCTTGTGACGACACACAGGAAGGAAGATCTCACACCGCAAAGCTCCCGGCATCCAAGCACCAGTCTGTCTGAAACACTGACTATCCAAATGAGTTCAGGTCACCAGGTACCAGTCTGCCTGCAACACTAATTAGCCAAATAATCTCAGGTCACCAATTACACGTGAGATTGTTCTGCGTTCTTATTGTCCTGCCTGTTTAGCTAATTAAAACAATTTTTCAAATTCTGGGTGTAATCCTGTCAGTTGCATGCCCACAAAACAACGAACTAATTAATTCATAAGCCTTTCAAATGCCAAAACAATGGAACTACACACAGATGCACTAAACAATAAAGGAAACATTATTAATTATGGAAGACTTGAATGACAAGTCAAGCTCACCTCTTCCTTCTTCTCCATATCCAAGATGAGGAGGGATTATTATTCTTCTTTTTTCACCAGTGCATACACCTAGCAAACCTTCATCCATTCCAGCAATCACATAACCTTTCCCGACATAGGTGTCATACGTACGATTTCTTGAATAGCTATGGAAAATATTTGCATTTTAGCAGTGTCAGGTGCACTCAAGAAAACACACAATCTTGCAATAGGTCTGCAACAGAGTTCTTAAACCAGTTAAGGTCAAACACACAGTCACTGACCAGGCACCTGAGAGGCACAATGCAATCGCCATGCTCAGTGACTCTAGGCCACCAAGTTTCATAATCAGTGATGCTCGTCATTTGCTAATCAGTACTGGGACCCTGGCTATGGCACTGCTTCTCTGCAAATACGTTTCTACTATATCTTGAAAGAAAATCCAACCTGTTTATGTATTTTAGACTAAACAGAAAACATGTTTTGATAAGTAACTGAAAAAAAATGGTTTCCCCCTTTAAATTATCCTCTGCTCTGACTCTGCTTTAATAAGTGCTTATCAACTAGATACCGTTTACGTTCATTTTCATGAGACACCCTTCAGACTATCTCATTTTGCAACCACAGCTATGTGGTTCAACTACTCCAGGCAGGAGGTGAGATAAATAGGTTCTCCTGGGAGGCACAGTATTAACATGAGTCATGACACCAAAACAGTATCAATACTGTCCCTCCCTTCCAAACTATGCCAATCACTTGTACGTAAGTTGAGGGATCTGCTTCAACATCTGATGATACAATAAAACAAGCCTACGGCAACAAATGATGTTTGTTGTAAGGATGTGTCTGTCTTCCGCCTTTCTTCAAGGCACATTACATGAAGGCACTACCCAAGGAAGGCAAGGCAGCAAGGGCTGAATTCATCTTTACAAGGCAGCTCTGGGCATGAGCAAGATCAGCACAGACCCGGATATAACCCAGAGGTTTATTCAACTGCTCTGGGTCCAGACAGCCCTGGCTGAGCTGCCCAGGGGCAGTTCTGCAACTGAATATTGCAGAGGGGAAAAAACGAAGGACAATTGTTATTAGAGCTCTCGACCCCAGCCATTCGCAGTGCTTTCGGCATGCTCCCTGTACTAGTGAGAACATTTTTCCTGCCCAACTCCAAGGCTTTCAATAACTATCATTAGCTGCTCTATTTCTTTATGGATACCTGTTAGATATCAGTCTTTCTTGGCAGGCAACCAGGTTACGACACTCTAACAAATAAGCCCTCTGACAACTGTCAGCATTTGAGAATGATTTAGAGGCTGCTGCCCACAAAGTATTTATTACTATTTATTGACAACAACCCTAATATAAATACTACAGCCATTTTAAAATATTGTTTAATTACTGCAGACAACACTCATTTACGTCCCAGAAAAGAGAGATTCTGGGTAGGTGCACTGTGGATAAGCTTTAAGTTCTTAACTTAGAAGTTTTCATAAGCTGTAAATTAGTCTACAGCGATGACGGCTGATGCAGGTGTCTGGGCTTCTATCCTCCCACCAAGCTGGGCAGCTGAATGGGGAGGTCAGGGTTGATTCTGAACCTTACCGCACCTCAATTCAATTACATGAGATACAGCTGACTCCTCCTCATGGGAAGTAGCACAAGTGGCATACTACGCAGCCTATGTTTGCAAACTGATCCTGATCTTCAGCTTGCAGCAGCTGCAGTAGTACTAAACATTTTCCCACGAGTTTATTTCACAAAACAGTTTACTGTGGCTCATCTTCAACTCTTTTTAGCTACTTGTGCCAGCTGTTCTGAAAGCTGGCGTGAGCAAGTAAAGTACTGCTCATTAAAGAGCAAACAAAAGTGAAAGGAAGCTACAAGGGTATTATTATTCATCGTATAATTCTGTACACGAGGCTCATGTGCCCAGAGAGCTTTGAATCTGAAGTGACAGCAATCCTTCCTCCTTTATCACAGAAACCCCACTGCTGAATTCAGTCTTGAAAGACACCAGCCTTCAAAATGCAAGCAGCTTTCAAGTACAAAGGGAAAGGCTGTCCTAAGATTAACCTCAGACTAGCCACTAGCTCACAGACTCACAACTCTCAGGACATAAAACGGGAATCATCTTTATCTTCTCTCTCTTCAGGAGCATTACCTACTTGGCAGATAAAGCCCATGGGGCAAAACGTCTTCAGGCTCGAGTGCCTAGAGTGTACAAAGCTTCACGAGGGGGATCATCACCCCTAGATGGCGTCTGTGATATTGCCATGACACAACATGGGCCTTTGTCTTCCTTCCCATACTGAAAAGGCTTCTACGAGTTTTTTAAGAACAGAAGACTCCAACTCCACTCACAAATTTCAAAAAGGAAGGAAAAGCAAAGAACTGTATTTGGGCATATTACGGACCAGATAGATGAGCCAAACTGGAAATGGGATCTGTAGGGCTGAATGGTTCGGTTACCTGGAATCAAACAACGTGCCATCCAAAAGTGTGCCGTTGTAATGGTATCGAAGAAAGTCTCCCGTCTGGCTTCTCCGCTCGCAGGATTCAGGCACGTGCTGGTTCTCAATAGTAATACCATCTTTGGGGTTATGGAGATCTAGCAAAGCCACATCAAAGACGAGAGAAGCTTGGCCAGGGATGTCCTTACCTACAAAAGCATTAGAGCAGAAAGTTGGTAAGAAAGAGCAAGTGTTCTACAAGCAGCCTAAACATGTTTGCTGAAGAAAAGTAACCTACTGCTGAAGATCAGGCACCTCCCCTCCCAAAACAAATTAGCATGATCTGCTTCTAGTCAGTCATTTTTTTGTTTCGTGTGTGGGTTTGTCACTTTACTCTCCGACTCAGTTATTTCATTCTGTTCCTGTTGTGGTGGCACTGCTTCACCAAAACCAACAGCCTCTTCAACAACACACATCTTAGTCAATATACACCAGCTCTGCCTGAGCTACACGGCTTAGTCTACCAGTATTTCCAACACGCCTCATAGAATTGCATAAAATAACCATCAGAATGCGAATTTGGTACATCTGCTCTTCCCATCCTATTAATATCAAAACAGGAGACCGCATGATGCAAGTTGAAGAAGGGTAAATTGAGTATCTCAGTGAAAAAGTACCTTTCCACCAATACACAAATTATAGTGTGGGTTGCTTTGACTGGGAACCATTGAGGCCAAGATCTTGGCAAAATTTTAAAGCACAACTCTACGAAGTTTTGTTATCTATGGAGATGGCTATCACAGTTAACAGTAATGAAGTCATGCTGGGGTATGAAACCTTCTACACCACAGACACATTCTTAAACATTAGAGCAGAGAAAGAATTTAAGAAAGCGTCCCAAACTATACCCAATTGCCCTCTCATATGACATGGGGACCTCTGTGTATAACCTGCAGGATGCATACAATCTCATAGGACAATTAATCCATCCAATAGTTATTATTAGGGCATTGCTTGCAAAAAAAAGAACAAAACTGGAACTAAAACCACATTTTTCTTTTTCAAAAGTTTTCTGTCCTCTGTGGCAGTCATTGAAAGAAGTATGCAGTCACCTGACTTCCAGTTTTTGAAGCCACTAGATATTAATCACAGACTATATTCTCCAAATGAAATTTCAGTATACAGATTACAATTGTATCAACAATATGTCTGCTAAGCAACTTACTGTTTAAATTAAAAAAAAAAATCTTGTACTTGCTAACCAGTACAACCTTATACATAATACACTTTGAACCTCTCTTTTCTTCACTTTGTTCCATCTGTCTGAAATCAGTAATAATGCTGCCCATAAATTTAAAATACACTAAGTTTGTTTTAAAATATGGATGACTTGGATCAAAAAAAAAAAAAAAGATAACTTTTACCATCTCCATCTTCTCCATATGCCAGGAAAGGTGGTATTGTGATAATGCGCTTCTCTCCTACGCACATTCCCAAGAGACCTTGGTCCATACCAGGAATCAGCCATCCAATTCCCACATAGGTATCATAAGTTCGCATTCGATTATGGCTAAAAATGGAAAACAAAACAAAACAAAACAAAACCATGAAAACAAAACAAAACAAAACCACACACAAATGTCAGACAGCCACAGGAAAGAACAATATTAATCCTCAAAAGCCACATGCTATGCACAATATAATTCATAACTTGCTGCTTCACAAATACTGCTCCTTGATTTACCACGGGCTGGCTGGGTAGTGCTTCCCAGAGCACTCAGCTATTTCAGGTACGCAACAGAGGTTTTGAAAACTGGCTCACAAACAGAATGGCAGCTGTTATTAAAGCACCATTTTCCACCAAACTTTACTGAAATACACATGCTGTAAACTTCAAATCTCAGTATGAAAGTGTTAGTACCTCTATTTCATTACATGCTTCGCTTAGTTTATAAAGCTTGTATCTAACTTTAATAGCTATGCTGCAGTGGTTATAGAATTTTTTAGACTGCAAATAAACAGTAATATAGATGCAGGGAATGGAATTTGGAAAAAAAAAAAGGGGGCGGGGGGAAGGATCTGGGCTCGTAATCCCCACTCAGAAATGATGTACTCGTTTATTGGTTTGAGTCAGTACTGCTGCCCCATAACCCCTCAATAAATTACTGAGACTTCTACAATGCTAGCTTTCATTTCTTGTGTTTCTGAGCAATTGGCATTAATTGTTATACCAGTGAAGAGGGAGTAAATGATGGTTGAAGGGGGAGTAAATGATGGTTTCAGGTGACATCAGATACCTGTTAAAATACACAAAAGACACACAACCAGCTGAGTACCTTGAATCAAACAGAGTCCCATCCAAGAATGTTCCATTGTAATGGTATCGTACAAAGTCCGACACCTGGACTGTCCGAGGACACTTCTCAGGTTTGAAGTAAGTCTGAACCTGCACTTCATCCTCCGAGTTCCAAAGGTCTATCAGGAGCACATCGAAATGGAGCACAGAGTTGGGGGGAATCACACCAGCTGCAAAAGCAAAATGACATAACCAGTTTTCTTTCCCTTTTTGTACAGGGCACCAGCGAAAAGGGAACCAAGCCACGCATACCCAAAAACAAAGGCACATAATGCACACCCTGATCCTTCTTACGCTTATATCCCCCTGGCCCCTTGTCACTGTTGCTGCTACCTAAGGGCGGGAATCTGGCAATATGTCTATCAGGCAAACTGATCTTGATTTAGCATTTATTGCCTCTACGAGTGTGTAGAGCAAAGCCGCTTTTGGCACTGACAAGGCCTTGTGCAGCACTACAACGCCAAAACACAGTAACTATTTAACGAGGTAGGTATAAATAACTAGTTAACTTCGGCAGCAAGGTTCCTTTGCTGAAGGTGCTCTACAGTCAACAGCTCTTCCTTCTGCAGCAGAGGGAGCCTGGAGCGATCAGCTCGGCTACTGGCTCAACGAACACCCCGCAGCAGAGCAGAACCTCTGTGAAATGCAATTCCTGCCCCTTCTCTTCCGTGACGCCATTTTCTAACTGCTCTGCTGAATCACCTGCCCAATCAGGCGTTCACCCGCCCGGCGCTGCACTTACAGACGCCTTCGCTCCCGTAGGCGAGCTTGGGGGGAATCTTCACGAACCGCCGCTCGTTCACGCACATCCCGACCAGGGCTTCGTCCATCCCAGCGATAAGCTGACCTTTTCCCACAAACACGTTGAACGTGGATCCCCGGTCATAGCTAGAGAGGTGAAAGTGAGCAAAAATGTTAGCGGTTCATTCAGCCATCATTCCACTATTTTTTTGAGAGTTTAACCTTGTGTCCCCCTTGCCCCGTTAGCGCAACTTTATCGTAAGACAGCTGCTAAGAAAAAGGGCAAATCTAAATGTTTCTGAGACCTTCTGCTCACTGCTCAGCATCTACCTGAAACGTGTTCTAGCAGTGTGCGATGGACACTGCAAGCACCTGAAGCCTGTAACTACAAACAGCTCACTTACACACTAATACTATAACCAGTACTGGAAAATCACGGATGAGAAAAAAAACTGAAACGCTATTAGAAGACGTGAAAGGATGGCTGCTCCCACAGAGGATCTCAGCATATCGATTTTGGTGAGTAATACCACAAAAATACTACGTGAGATTGATAAACTTTACAACCTGAGACATCACAGGTGGGGACTCTGTGGGAGAAGAGGAAAGGGAAAAAGATGCCTTTTCGAGTAATAGTTGTGAGACCGGCCAATTGGTTCTTTATTTTCTCCAGATGGATACTTATTTTCTTCTCCACATTCCCAGCTCTCATGTCATTAAGACTTAAACAATCAAAAAATAGAGATGTGCTTTAAATAGCAAGTTTGCCAGATGAAGACAGCTAGCTAAATGATCTTCTACTGCAATAATACATGAACATTTGAAAGGTAGAAGAAATGATGCTTAAATGATAACAAAGTTTTCCACAGAGAGCAGCAGCGTGACCACAGCAGAACATTAACATTAGCTTACATGATTAGTCTGACCACCTTAAATCCGCACAATGACCCCACTCTGCCGCGCCTGAATTACTGCTGTTATTTAAGCAATGTATAAACATACAGCAGGAAGCATTTCAAAAGCTTCGTGCCTATTTTTAAGCTTTTACTCCTTCCATTTTCTCAAATTCCTTTTGTAATTCAAAGGACTCCCCTTCCCCCCTGAAAAAAGGCAGGACTGGAAAAAATAATTTAAAAAAAAGGATTGCGCCTCTTTGCCTGCTAAAATATTCTGGAAAGCAGCCAGTAGCTAGATATCGCTGGGGAAATGATGTCAAACTTTCCTTCGAAGACTGTACACATCACTTCCACAACATACTGAGCCTCCTAACAGTCCCAGAGCCTTGAAGCCCTCAAATATTTCACTGAGTGATCTTCCTGTTCCTGCATCATTTCTTTTCCTGGCAAACATTTCCCTTAAAATAAACAACTCTCTAAACCGACCATACACTTTCGGTTGCACAAATATTCCTACTCCCAGGCAAGGATGGAAAATATTTAAATTAGCTCCTGACAAATTCTGTTACACACACAAAAACATAATTAGGATGTTAAGACTAATAACATAATAGGTTCTAAGAAACCCCAAAAAGTGGTATTTTGTAGCGATTGACAAAGCTTAGCAATACATCTGGGATGGACTTAGAAGAGCTTTTTTTGGCCAGAAATAAACCTACAATTAAGAAAAACAGATCATGCAGCTTTGCGGGACTGACTGCTTTGCAGACTCCTTAAAACTAAGGAAAATTATTTTCTGTTAGAGCAATTGGCCAAATTCACAGCAGATGACTAGGCAATTAAATTCAGACTTAAAAATGCAAATCAGTTTATGGTCAAGGAAATAAAAATGCAAATGCTGATGGGGAGAAAAAAGGAATAAACAGGCACAGTAGTTAATTTATGTGACGCAGTCATGAGTATTAGGACTGTCAACAGCCTGCTAACAAGAAGAGCTGTATTACTCTCTTCTACTTGGAAATACAGAAAAATAATTTTAAACCTCAAGAACATTTTCAGCAGTTGAAGAAGAAACAAATAAAACGGCCCTTAGTTCAACACCCAGAGTATTTTCTAGACCAATTTCATAGCAGTGTTTGACTAAACTGATGCTGGCAAGCACTTTCATAAACTTACTAAAAAAAAAAAACAGGTAGCAGCTCCGACAGGTAGAAAAATGGGCTTTCTAATAGGCTAATTTTAGTATAAATTGATTGAGTATCTTTAACTTGTATGCAGGGAACACTTAAGATTTTATGACAAATACTCCAAAATATTTCTTCCATTAACCTACAGAACATAAAACCTCCTAATTTTCTGCTGTCTTAACATGACAGACCAGTCATCAATCAATCTTAAAAAAAGACCATAGCTAGCAAATAACAAAATGTATGCCAGCATGAGCCACCGTCTAGAAAAAACATGACAAGCTGAACCAACCTGACTTTTTACACCCTTCTGAAACGAAAACGGCCACACAAATACTCAAGCTAGATTAGACTACCATCATTCTTATTTATTTACTGGTATTTAGAGGACCCGAAGAGATATAGGCTGTACAGGTCTGCACAGCCTGTTCCTGCTCCAAATAATTCGGAGCCAAATGACACGGAACTTGGAATTAAACCAGAGCCAGCACTTGGGAAGACCCTCCAGGTGTCCAGGTGCCCTGCCTCAGTGCAGAAACTCGCTGGCACAACTCAGCGTACCAGTAAGCCCCAGTGTGTATCTGCAGAAATCAGAAACACATTGCTGAACACATGGCTGGTTTTCCAATTGTCACATATTTGTAAAATGAGAAGTGAGGACGCTGCTCTTCTTTGCGTGTCCTCACATCTGCAGCTAAGACTTATTTTCCAAGACTGTTCAGCTGCCAACGAATGTCCTGGCTGTGCTTTTTCACCAAAACCGCACCAATGCCAGCTACCGCATCCCGCACTTTATCGGGCGAACAGTCAGCTCCGGAGGAAGAGCTGGGCTTACTGTGAAAGGCAGTTATTTCCCTAGGGCTGCAGATTTTCCTTGAAGTACGAGGAAGATTACCAAGATTACTGAAAATACATTTTGCTTTTTCCTTCCGATTAATACTTTGATCGCTGGCAATGAATGAAGCAAGAAAAAACAAAGAAGCCGTCAGCAGCACCAGCATCCTTCACAACATCCCGATCCCGCTGTTTAGGCTTCCTGATCCCAAAATAACAGCAGGAAAGCAGCCAGACGCTGCACTGTGCATAGGTCACATTTATTCAAGAGTAACTTATCCAAAAGCTATATAAGCACAGTCTGATAATTCTTGTATTTCTGGTAAAGACAACGATTCAGAAATGTTTGCGTCCTAGTAGGTTTGAGCCTAGAGAAGACTTAGGAAACGTGCAGAAAGAAATCGGCAGGAAATCACCGAATACTGCGACTGACTGCGGTATCCTATGTGCTCCCGTTTACCAGGGAACCTGAATATCCTCGCGGTCTTCTCATCTCTCGGAGCAGAAACCTCCTGGTCTGCGCCTTGGAGAAGCCACCGGAGGAACGTGGTGAGGATCCATCCGGGCACGTAAACTGCTGCGAACTGGACCCAGCCACCGCTGAGGCCTT